ACGTCAATATTTTTTATCGACTGTGGTAGAACTACCGAGATAAAATGGCAAAGTTACCGAGAACTGATAACCAATAAAAGTGGCATTCTTACCTGAAAAAAACAGTAAAAATACCGGTTTTAGGTAAGCTTACAAGTCTGCCTTGGTAAAATTACCGATAATTGGTAAAAAAAAAAAAAGTGAGATGGTAAAGGTACCAACGGACCTCGGTGAAAACGCCGAGAATTTTTTTTCAGCGTCGGACACGTGTTCGGCGCTCGACGAGCGGGGCCAACGAGGGCGAGGGCGCCTAACGAGACTTTGATGGAAAATCCGACACCGGGCCGGCTCCCGGGTCCCGCGAGGGGCGCCAGCGTCGCCCGGCCCTGCGCCCTCCCGCGCAACCCTGCACAGGTGCCCGCCGTCGACGTCAGTCTCAGTTCACGTCGCGCGCCGTCACGTCCGTTCGCTCCTCCCTCCCGTCGTCGGATTCTCTCGCGGTAATCGGATCTCAGAAAATCGCGCGCGAAGGATTCTCGCGAATCGGCGCCCCTCACGCGTCGAGCTTTCGAGTTGCTCGGGGGCAGAGTCGAGGCCCCTCTCACTGGCGTTCGGTTCGGTTTGAGTGTTGGTTGAGGATTACGCGAGGTTGCGGCCCGGGCTTCGGATTTCTCGCGCTGCGCCCAAGATACAGGTAGGAATGAGAAACAACTTAATCAGCCAAAAAACACATAATAAAAGAACAACTTAATTTGGGGAAAAGGCTGCAAATAAAGAAAAAGGAATAAACAAAACCCGGAACGTTTCAAAATAATAACAATTTCATTTTCAACCGGAAAATAAATTAAAAACAAAAACGAGCCGTCGCTACGCTCTTATTGCGAGACCGAGACCGAGATTTTTCGGTCTCGCAATAAGAGCGTAGCGACGGCTCGTTTTTGTTTTTAATTTATTTTCCGGTTGAAAATGAAATTGTTATTATTTTGAAACGTTCCGGGTTTTGTTTATTCCTTTTTCTTTATTTGCAGCCTTTTCCCCAAATTAAGTTGTTCTTTTATTATGTGTTTTTTGGCTGATTAAGTTGTTTCTCATTCCTACCTGTATCTTGGGCGCAGCGCGAGAAATCCGAAGCCCGGGCCGCAACCTCGCGTAATCCTCAACCAACACTCAAACCGAACCGAACGCCAGTGAGAGGGGCCTCGACTCTGCCCCCGAGCAACTCGAAAGCTCGACGCGTGAGGGGCGCCGATTCGCGAGAATCCTTCGCGCGCGATTTTCTGAGATCCGATTACCGCGAGAGAATCCGACGACGGGAGGGAGGAGCGAACGGACGTGACGGCGCGCGACGTGAACTGAGACTGACGTCGACGGCGGGCACCTGTGCAGGGTTGCGCGGGAGGGCGCAGGGCCGGGCGACGCTGGCGCCCCTCGCGGGACCCGGGAGCCGGCCCGGTGTCGGATTTTCCATCAAAGTCTCGTTAGGCGCCCTCGCCCTCGTTGGCCCCGCTCGTCGAGCGCCGAACACGTGTCCGACGCTGAAAAAAAATTCTCGGCGTTTTCACCGAGGTCCGTTGGTACCTTTACCATCTCACTTTTTTTTTTTTTACCAATTATCGGTAATTTTACCAAGGCAGACTTGTAAGCTTACCTAAAACCGGTATTTTTACTGTTTTTTTCAGGTAAGAATGCCACTTTTATTGGTTATCAGTTCTCGGTAACTTTGCCATTTTATCTCGGTAGTTCTACCACAGTCGATAAAAAATATTGACGTCTTTACCGCGGTCCAGTTATATTACCGAGAAAGTTCAATAATTTTACCGAGATTTCTCGGTAAAATTACCAATTCCATAAATGTTAATTTTACCAAGAAAAAACTGGGATCAAATAGAACCCTGAATTCTCGGTAATTTTACCCTTTTCTTAGTAAATACATCGAGATTTTTTTTCAGTGGACTGCGGCCGATGTCGATGTTCGGAGGTGCTGGCAGAGACAAACAAGATTGCCGTGATAGCGAAGAGAGCCGTAAGAGCAAAAATGAAGTTCTGAGAAAACGGGCTCGGAAGCTTCTGAGTGGAAAGTTTTATTGAAAGCAGCCTCCGTTCTTAGTGGACGTATTTATGCTAAAAGGAGATATGTGCAAGTGGAAAGATGGGGTGTGCTCGTTAGTTGGGTCATAAGAAACAATGTAAAAGTGGATATAGCTCCTTTTGAGAAAATTGAGAAGCGGGATTTGACATTAAATCAAAAGGAGCTAAACGCCAAAATATGCTAACTCATGAGCCGCGGGCATGGCAAGAGAGCGTTGTGGACAGGGCTCATGAGTTACAGCGCCCCGACGATGATCCCCGGCTCGTGCGTGGTCTCCTTCATTGCCGCTGACGTCACTGGCGCTTTATATTCCCCATTCATTCTTATGGCCCGACCACTGACGAGCACACCCCATCTTTCCACTTGCACATATCTCCTTTTCGCATAAATACGTCCTAGTCTAATGGAGATGTTGCATGTGTAAGGGATTTGCGATTTGACCATTGATTCTTATGTAAAAGTTCGCGAGAAACACGATGGTGCCACTGGTTTTCTCTGAAATCAATTCCCAAGCTCAAAAAAGCTCTCAAGTTGAGGCCGAAATGGAGGGGATATCCCACCCTACCCTGAGAGTCCACCTCTACATCAAGACAAACTCTCCATGCTAAGATAGGGAGCAAATACATTGGCAACGTTGCCACTTTATTTGGGGACTCCAAAACTGAAAACACGGCAACCCTGCTAATGTATTTGCTCCCTATCTTTGCATGGAGAGTTTGTCTTGATGTAGAGGTGGACTCTCAGGGTAGGGTGGGATATCCCCTCCATTTTGGCCTCAACTTGAAAACTTTTTTCGAGCTTGGGAATTGATTTCAAAGAAAACCAGTGGCACCATCGTGTTTCTCGCGAACTTTTACATAAGAATCAACAGTCAAATCGCAAATCCCTTACACATGCAACATCTCCATTGCCACTATTCGTCCGGAAGACTCCTAGAAATCATTTGGGGGATTAAAACTCGACCGATTTCATTTTAAAGTACATGAAAAAGGTAAAACTCAGTTTCGTGTCGGGTTATTGTTAGGCAAGACAGCCGTAAGTGCTGTCTTCTGCATGCTTTCGCGGTTGCGTTTTGGACGCACAACAAACACATTTTCAGGTTAGAAATTGGCAGAAGAGAGCGGCACTTTACAGGAAAGCACTGATCTCATTGGCTCTCATGCATCTACGGCTGTCTTGAAAAAAAAAAAAACTGTGTCATTTTTTGTGCACTTACGGCTTTCTCATACGTCTTGTTTTCATTAAATTAGGATGAATTTTGCTGTTTTAGCTGTCTCAGTAATTTCATCTAAAAGAGTTAAGACGAATTTTGAAGAAAACTCGATTTCGAAAATTTAGCACTTACGGCTCTCTTCGCTATCACGGCAGAAGAGACCCTCCGTTTCCGATGCTGCCGTCGTGCACGGAGAAAAAGGAATCATTTCTTCTCGAGGCTCATACTGCCGTGATAGCGAAGAGAGCGGTATAGACATAACGATCTGGGCTCAGCGGGCCGATTATTGAAACTTATAGACTAAGCTATGGACAAAGACGACAAAAGCAATTTGGAGGGATCCTATTCCGCCGTGCTGAGGAAGAACGCCGTATGAACATTCGAGAGTTGCCAAATTTCCCTTGATAAAACCTGTATTTTTGACAACATTCATGCGTATTTTTCCTTGAAATTTTCAGATATTTTAGATTAGATTGCGTACAAAATTGTCTGAAATTTTTGGAAAATAATATTCACAACTTTCCCAGTAAATTCGGGTTTTATCGGAGGAAACTTGGCAACGCCTGAATGTTCATACGGCGTTCTTCCTTAGCACGGCAGTATTGGTGGAAGCAGGTGGTGGCAATGGACATAGGAGGTAGGTGATAGACTAACTAACGACAACCCACTGGAGACCCAACAGTTAGTCCATCATTTTCCTCCTTAGTCTATAAGAACCAACTATATCACCACTAGGATCTCTCCATACTGCCTATGTCTTCTTTGTCTATCGCTTTGTCCATCAGTTTCAATAATCGGCCCACAGGGGCCGAAAGCTCCAGGTGGTAGAGCTATATCTTCGACTGCCCCGGGTGCTACGCCCGGAACTTGGGTGCTACACCCGGAACATTCGGCCTCTGAGCGTGGAACGCTGATGTTATGTCTGTATATTCTGCCGTGATGGCAAAGAGAGCAGTAAGTGCAAAATGAAGTTTTGAGAAAACGGGCTCAGAAGCATCTGACCGGAAAATTTTATTGAAAGAAGCCTCCGTTCTTTCTCAAATTATCACCAATCGTCCGAAAGACTCCTAGATCTCGTTTGAATGATTAAAAATCGACTGATTTGATTTCAATTACACAAAAAGGGTTTTTTCCATTTTCATGCCAGGTTATATTGTTAGGCAAGACAGCCGTAAGTGCTATGTTTTGCATGCGTTCGTGGTTGCGTTCTGGACACACAACAAATACATTTTCAGAATAGGAATTCGCGAAAGAGGGCGGCATTTTACTTGAAAGCACTGTTTTCGTTATGGTTCTCTGGAGGAATATCGTCACTTCCTGCTGTCTTGCCTGAAAATAAGTCATTTTTTGCGCACTTGCGGCTTTTTCATAGGTCCCGTTTTGATACAATTAAGATGAATTTTGCTGTTTTAGATATTTCAGTAATTTCATCTAAAAGAGATTAGAACAAATTTTGAAGGAAACTCGACTTCAAAAATGTTGACACATACTTACTGCTCTCTTCGCTATATCACGGCAGAGTGAGTTCCAGCGAGCTGGATTGTTGAAGTTGATGGACAGGGAGCTATGCATGAAATAGTATTTTTTAAAAGTGCCGTGACCTTAGGCCTTGTCTCCGCGGGACGATTTCACGGGATTTATCCCAGAAAAAAATTCCACTTGCTAAGTCGAAAAAAATATCGATTTAGGCTATATAAATCCTGGTGCCAAGTTTGGTCCTTGTCCTCCTTGTAAAACTCCTTGTTGGTCTAAGATTGACGAGAGAGGAGGAAAAACATAAAGTAAATCGTCGTTTCCCACAAGAGGGAACGTAACTCTATTCAAAGGTTGCAAAATTGCCGGAAACAATTCAATTTTTTTCAAGGATGCACTCGCGAAATTTTTGCGTGAAAATTCTCTGATTTTTCATGAGATCAGAGGAAAATTCGGTGAAATTTTCACGTAGAAATACCATAGAATCTCCTAGTAAAAATGAAATTTGCGGGCGGAAATTTGGCAACATTGAAATTCAGTTACGTTCTTTCGTGGACGGAGCGACGAAATGAGTCACCAAGCCGAAAAAAATTTTGCCTTGTGAATACGTTTATCCAAAGGTAAATAACGCGTTGAACACGATGCGAGCATTATAACCACACAAAAATATAATTTGGAAACCGGTTCACCGTGCTTCAAAATTTCAATCATTTCATGCGATAATCCAGGAAATAACTTCCCCTCCCGACATAAAATTTCAACCTGGTCTAAATTGAACCGGTGACCATGCTCTCTCTGATGTTTTATGAGAGCTCTTACCTTTCCTCCACTAGTGCTGCGATACCCGGTTGCGAAAAATTTCTTCACTTCGCTCAATGATGGACACACCGCAATTGATGCGTGGCATTTATCCACCAATTGAGGGTCTTAAATTGGTGGACAAGGCGCATAAGTGCAGTTTTTGCTATTTCGAGAAATGCGTGTTTGAAGTTTCGAAATCACTTGGATCCTCATAGTGGGAAGAAAGTTCAAACTGACTTTCAGATCCTTGAAAATTAAAATGCGGGAGCGAATTTTTCACAGAATATGCATTAAGACTATAGTGTTACTTGAAATCATTTACACCTCGATTTTTCAAAAACTGCACTTATGCACCTTGTTCTCCAAGCCCCTCAGTTCTGATTGCTGTAAAACCAGGGTTTTACTTTTAAAGCGGGATATTAGGAGTAAAAAATCAAAAATATTAAAACGGTAGTTAACCACACAACCAGTTATTTTCGTGAGGTTGCTGAAGTGGGGTCGATATCAATATAGGTACCATACCTCTAGGGCTAAGGCGTACGGCAGCGGGTTGAGTGTGTCCAAATTTATCTTTTAAGCGTCATCGATCTGTGTCGATATATTTCGATTGTTTTACATATATTTACATGGATGAAACCCGGTGTTGTCAACTTACGAGATACGAGATCTCGACTCGGATTCGGTACCCATCTCACGTGCACCTCGCGCGCTGCTTTCAATACTTTCAGCTTAGCGAAAACGCCTTCAATGTTGGATGATACTA